GCAATGAGATTTCACATCATTCGCATAACTGAGTGACGTGCGTCTACTCTAAAATTTGCATATTTTCTGACCACTCCTTTCTTGGTGTTGCATTTTCACTGTCGAGCAGTGTATATAGATCCGAAACACCGAATTTTCTTGGATGACGAACAAATTTAAAAGGCAATGAAAACCATGTATGAACTTTCATTAAGAATGAAATTATTCTCGGAGCAATTGGAGAATTCGAATCAGGACAGTCAAACTGTAAATATTGTAACTGAGTCTCTATCATCCTCTTCCAGTGATGAATTAGATTTTGAGAAATATTTTTAGATAATATTGAAAAGGCTAAGGCAAAGTGAATGAACATAAAGAACCAGGAGCCTTTAGATATAAAAATGAAAAAATACAAACAAGATTTCTACACGGCTTTTGAAATAGAGAAATATGATTATGCTTGCAAGACACCTCTTTTAGAACTTATAAAAATCTATCCTGAAAAGTTAAAAGAAGTAGCCCTAACAGTAACAGCTCTTCCTCCTACTCAAGTTAATACGAAAAGACTGTTCAAGGCTCTGAAGTTTATCAAATCGGATCTATGGCCCTCTAACAAGGAAGATCTTGCTGAAGCTATACTGTTTCTTAGAAATAACTAATGCCAGTTTTCCCATTTCATAATAAATGCTAAATAATTTTCTGTGCCATCAATTTTTTTTCTCTTGTATCTATTACTTTTTTTATATTAAAAAAATAAGCTGTAACCCATGTGTATATGTTTACATATATAAATGTGTAAGATAAAAAATATGAAATCAAACTTCTAAATTGAATTCACTATAACCTCTTTTATTTTCTGTTTAATTTGGGAAGTTCATCTATCCGTCCTAAAAATAGTGCTTTAGTCAAAACTGCATCATTCAAATTAATCATGCGATCTTACATAACCCTTAATGCAGATGCCTCTTGACCAATCACCAAATTGCAAACCAAAACATTTTTCTCTTCGCGTGCTTCCATCTTGCATAACTATGCATTTCAGCTTTGCTCTCTACTGTGCTAGGATGTAATTTCGCTGGCTTGCTTTCTATCTCAACAATATCAAAAATGTAAATCTTCTGTGGAAAGGCACGACTGAAGTGCCAAGTGATTGTGGCCACAAATATCAAATGCAAATAAAAATGGAATTAAAACTGCCTCGACTGGCAAGTTCTTTAGATATTACCAAGTTAACATACTATGCAATCAAAATTCTTCTTCAATATGGATCTAAGCACGCATCGACACTGCTCCGGCTTTTCCTTGTGATCTTATTATTTCATTATATACACTCACGTTTGTGAAAATTGCAACACCAAGAAGGAATCGTCATAATTAAATGCAATTTAATACACAGTTGAGTGGTAGTGGTACAAATAAATGATTAAATGTTCAAAGCAAACAAACAAGAACAAGAGATCAGAATCAGTATTTTGTGTGGCCACCACGCGCCGCAATAAGTGCTGCTACACGACGGGCATGGAGTCAAACAAAGTTTGAATGTCTGACTGAGGAAGAGCATTCCATATCGTTTGTACGCGTACCCAAAGTTCGTCTGCAGACGCAACCGGACGAGGATCACAAGCAAGACGCCGACCAATGACATCCCACACATGTTCAATTGGCGACATATCCGGGGAACACGCAGGCCAAGGAAGAAGAAGCTGTACCTGCTGCGCTGCAAAGAAGGATTTAACAATCCGAGCAGTATGAGGGCGGGGGCATTGTCCTGTTGAAAATACAGCGCCTGGCAAGCTTTGAAGGAAGGGAACAGCTTCGGGCTGTAGAACTTCACGGATATACCGGTTGCTGTTCAGATTGCCCACAATTCGTAGCAATTGAGATCGTCTATGATATGCTATGGCGGCCCCAGACCATAACTCCGGGTGTTCGCCCACTGTGGCGTTCGATAATGCACTCCGGAAGGTGGCGTTCACCGGCATAGCGTCTGAACACGAATGCGGGCCATCATGGTACCACAAAATTAAAGCGGGATTCGTCAGAAAACACGACATGCTGCCAATCAGCACGCCAGTCTCTATGCTGATCGGCCCCATTGTAGCCGCAGGCGGCGAAGGTCGTGCGTTAAGGGGATCCTGTATAAAGGAGTCCGTGCGCGCAGTCCACACTGCAGCAGACGTCTACGAATTGATGAAGCACACAATGAAACACCTGTAGCTATTGACCACAGTGCTGCCAATTGTCTAGAGGAAGCTGTACGGTCCGTCCGCGCCATGCGGACCAGGTGTCTATCATCGCGAGCTGACGTCACATTTCGGGGTCCACTCCCGGATTTCCGAGTTGTCCGACACTCGTCCGTCCACTGCTTCCAAACGCGCATCACTGTGCTGCTGTTTACGCTGCACACGAGAGGCTACTGCACGATACGACAATCCAGCTTCACGAAAGGCCGATGATTTCTCCCTCGTTCAAACTCTGTAAGTTGTTCAAATCTCGCTCTCTTTCATCGACGAGGCATAAGTACAGATTGAGTTAACGTTTACCACTAGCAGATAACCACCGATAACCATACACGCCTCGTTACAGCCGTCTATTTATTCGGATCCATCAGCCGTTCAGAGGGCGCTGCTCAGCATACGCATGCGCTACGGATTTGCAATTCTAATCATTTGCATATCATGCGCTACTTTGCATTTCCTGAAAATTTCAGCTCACTCGCGTAAGTCCTTCATGGTGTTGCAATTTTCACAAACGTGAGTGTATGTATGAGGGAGTCGGACTCTTTAAAATTCCAGGAGTTCGAGTCTGTCATTTTCCCTACCGACTATGCAGCCCTGATTAATATGTTTAATAATGATTCATTGAAATAACTTTCATGTAAATAATGATTCATTGAAACGCAAAGACCAGATGGGTTTAATAATGATTCATTGAAATAACTTTCATGAAATAACCATTGGTGGTAAAAGATTTATTGGGCAGTAATTTGACAATAAATTTCCATTCTTTCCTGATTTCTTGAATACAGTAATAATTGCATGCTTTCCATGGAGCCAGAAAATATTTAAATTTGAGGCATGCATTTATGATTTTAGTTAAAAATTTTATTGCATGTTTGGGAAGTTCTTTCTATGCTTTATTGTTAACGTTGTCATACCTTGAAATCTTTTTGGGGTTGAGATCTTGAATAATATTATTTATTTCCCTGAGTGAGGCAAAAAGTGAGTAGCGAGGCTTGATCACTCATCCTTCCAACCAGGAGGAAAGTGCAGTGCTTACTTCTAAGTGTTCATCATCAAGATAAAATATTGTTCACTTCCAGCAGTGTTCATCATTGTTTGAAGTGAGATAATCTTTCACATGGTTGATTATGTTAATGTCATTTGGATGCTGAAAACCATTTTCTGTGTGTTGCTGCTCATTAGTAGATACGAAAGTATTTGCAGTATGGGCTGGGTTATGTATTTTGGATGTTATTATGAGTAACTGAGCAAATTGTGGACTGATTTCTGCTGAGAGATTTTGCGAGCTTCCTCACAGAATGATCTGTTTGCTAGAGAGAATCAATATAATTATTCCAGGAATCTTCTTTAAAGTTACTGCACAGGCTTTTAATTTCCATGTTGATTTGATTGTATCTTCATTTATCTGCGGAATCCTGGGTCTTTTAGAAAACTTTCTGAATCTTGTGATTTTTAGAATACTTTTGGAATGTATATTATTTATCTGGGGTATTGATAGTTTTAGAATTGTTAATTGCATCTTAATTTTCAGAGCAAGGCTATTAATGGCTTTATTAATGTTCTCTTTCGAATCTAGGTTAAGAATCATTGAAATTTCCTTCAAGTCTATGTTAGTCTTTAATCTTCTCTTAATCAAGTCTTTCATCTTCATTTCTTCTCTATCAGTTTCGTTCTTATTTTTCTTAATGGAAGGTTTATTTTTATCTTGTGTCGTATTTTGGGGAGCTGCAGTGTATGATTTTATATGTGAGATTTTTGACAATTGATCAGGTTCTATCTTCTGTGCTTTATGCCTTTGTTCATTTTCCATGGTGCTTGGTATATAATTGAGAAATCATCTTTTTTGTTATTTTCATTCTTATGTTTCTCAGTCTTTTGGGTCAATTGGCAGCATGTAAACCTCCACTGAGGAAGCAGCACAGGGGAATGCTTTTTTCTTTTGTGGGCGATTCGAAGGATTTGTGTTCATCAAGACAGAATACATACCTCAGGCTCCTGCTACTTGCTCTCTGCATGTGTTATATTTTACTTGTTTGAGCAAAAGACACTCCAGATTTGATCAAATTTTCTCTTTTCTGACATGGAAACCTATTTTTTGGAAATTTAGGACAATTTCTAACATTGGCTGAGTGAGGGCACAGACAGCTGGTACATTTGAAGTGGTGTCTGAAAATTTTAGCTTTTAAATTAATCTAATCTACCCCATTGTTTAAAAGGAATCCATAGTTGATAACTTTGCCAAGAAATCTTAAAGCTGTCATATCTGTATTGTTATTGTTTACCTTCATTTTACTGCTTTTTTATATATTTATTGCTATCTTCCTGTATAAATTTTCCCCAACTGATGTTTGAATCTCTGAAATACAATAAACTTTTTAATGGATACCTTGGTTTTCCACAATATTTATTTTCTTAAATTTATCTTTCAGCTTTCAGCGTATCTACTTTGCTGTAATTGAATTATTTACTACAATATTTTAGTCTTTCATAATCAGGTATGAAAAGCTGGTTTGTTATTTCCAGCAGTTCAGTGTGCTACTTTCTTTTTATCTTTTTGAACAGAAATCACAATAACAAGGTTAACCATACTTGCATTTCAGTTATTTTAAAAGTGCATCCTCATTTCAGGAAAATTCAGAAAAGTAATTATTGGTTTAAAAGATATGTTAACTGATGTATTTATTTACTTTAAATATAATCACTTACTATCTATGATGTGTGACTGAAATGTATGAAATTACCATTTTAAATAGTTTATGCAAATAAAAATTTTTTCAGGTACTTATATACCTGCAACGCAAAGACCAGATGGGACGTGGAGAAAAGCAAGAAGAGTAAAAGATGGGTATATTCCTCAAGATGAAATGCCATTGTTAGTATATTAAATTTGTAAAAACATGTCGGATTGATATATTTTCTTCCCTCTTTTCACCTTCTAAAAACCGAAATTATAAAATTTTCCAGATCTTTTCCATTGAAGGACATCACACACCAATCTTCTCTAGAAGGAGAGTAAAAGTAAAATACACAGCCATGGTCTGCTGGCCACCATTAAGTGAAATGTATTGTTCTTCTCTCAGCTTTGGGGAGGGGGGAGTTCACTCAAACCTTTTTATGCAGTATATGAAAATTTCAGTCAAACTAGAACATAATTGATGAAGTTATCAATAGAAAAATAATAAAATGAATAATCAATAAATAAGGGACCTTTAATTTTCTATATTTGGCTACTGAGATATATGAAAGCGTCTAGTGACACAAAAGTCTCACAAAAACAATCATCGACTATAGTAACTGGAAAAAAGTCAACTCTAAATGACTATTTTTTATAGCTACTTGTTCAAGTTTTATGCGATTTTTTTCCCCATACGGCCCCTATCCACCACACAAAAACAGGTTTGAGTGTATATGCCAATTAAAGTGTAACATTCTATTCTCTTCTTTATTTATTAAAATAAACTAACCTAAGAGATGTGAGCTGACAACTAAAATATGTATTGGAAGTACTGAGTTGGCAGATACATCTTATGAAAGTTGTTAGTGCATGTTGTTCTACAAAAGGAAAAATACAATTTTATTATTTTTAAACAACCATTTAAGCATCATAGCAATGATTTTTAAGTAAAATCATATTCAAATCTTTTATGAATTTCCCTATCCTCTTTGGTTTAAAGTACCAAAGAATATTTCGGTTGGTGAATATGTATTATATTTTACATATTGCTAGTACTTTAAAGTTTTAAAAATAATTATGTATTATGTAGTAAATCATTTTACTGATTTTATCATCAATATAATTTTTCATTTGAATAAAGCAATTTTCAAAACTATGCCATTAAGAAATTTTTGCAGCAAACACATGGAATAAGTAAGCTGTTAAATTAAAGCTATTAAATTAGTAATTACACAGTTTGTTTGTTGAGAAAAAAGAACAAATAAAAAAAATTATTAGGTTCCTAGTGAGGGAATGAACTTATGAAATCTCTTCCCCCTCCCCCAATGCTGAATTTGAAATACAGTGTGGGAGCTTGTACTGTTGTGATACAAAACAATGTAATTTTTTTTTTCTTTTTTCAAGAAAATTCAGTACTTGTTCTCTAAAAAGATATTGGCTGTCTATATATTAGCATTTCTAGCTATATGACTCTCCAAAGCAGTAGTTCCAGAATAGCTGGATTTGTCGAGAGAAAATATTGTAATCATCATCGAAACACTTTTATGCACAAACAACTCTTATCAGGTTTGGTTCATTTTGCTCCCAAAGAGTAGATTTGTTATTTCAAGTTTAAAGGCATAAATCTACATTTCATCATATTTTACAATAGTTTTTGAGGCACTGTAGTTGAATCTTTTCAGATTTCCCCTGATTTCAGATTCCTTCCTCCATTCAACAAAAGCTTTCTTTTGAGCTTGAGTTATTGCTAGATTCCGGTGTGTACATACCTTTTTCATTGTTAAATAATGACCATGTAGAATAGAACATATTCAGGTCCTTGAATTATGTTGAAAGATGCCTCAATTTCATCTGTTTGATTAAGTGATCATTTTTTCTACAGCATCAGTTTTATCTCACAACACAGCTGTTCTTGATCAACTGATATAAAGTTTATTACTCTTACTTTCATTATTCTTTTGAACTTAGCTATAAATTGTTACTTTAGATGATGCTTCATCACCAAAATTCGATTTCATTCTATCAACATACTACTGCTGTGTCAAACTTTGTCAAAATTCATAAAAAATAACAGCTTGAAGTTGTTTTTGACATATCCATACATATCCATAGTACAGTACCTTGTTAACTTTGAAACAGTGCCACAAAATTAATTTTGTAGTATCTATTTTTCTTTAACAGCTAATGATGATGAGAAAGTTCACATTTTGAAAAAAAGTACCTAAAAGTACTTTACGTCCTGCTGTTTGACTTCGCAGATTCTAAAAACATACTTACAAGCCTTTATTTTAAATTTATTTCATTATTAGTGCAAAGGAGCAATTAGCCGAGAAAGATTATTAATTTTGTTTTGATATTTTGCATTGATTCACCTATAAATATCAATTCACTTTTCAAATTGTTGCCACCAAATACCAGAGCCGTGTATTATATTTAAAGAAATTAAACAATAAAGAATCTGCATAAATGTGTTTCTTGCATTGTGATAAAACAGCAGTCAAGAGGAATTAAATTTTGATTAACATACATTTCCACCCGAATAGGGTATCTGGAAGCCCAAATTTGGAATTTGTTTTATTATCTATTTCATATTTTGTAGAACTTTAATGAATGTTTGATTAACAAACTCATTTCAAAGCGAGCAGTGGCAACACTGTACGGGGGGATTTTTTTTTTATCTCCCGCGTGCAAAACTGGATCGGAAATTCTAAAGATATGCTTATTTTAAAATTATTTTGTGATATTGCTGTTGAACTGTATTTTATGGTTTAAGTGCAAATACAAGGTGTGGCTATTAATTTCCAGGACTGTTCTAATAACACCAGAACAGATGATGTGAAAAACGTAACCTTTTAATATGCTTCGTAGTAATCCCCATCTGCCATAATACACTTCTGTGCTTGGCTGTATAAGTTTCGGAAACACTTTTAAAGCCCTCTTTCGGAAGGCTCTTCAATGTTTACGTCATGCTCTTCATGATGTCTTCAACATCCACAAATCATGTTCCTTTTATCACAGATTTGAGTTTGGGAAACAAAAAGAAGTCTGTGGGGGACAACTCGGGAGAGTATGGCGAAGGATGCAGCTCCACAATCTCATGCTTGGCCAAACATGCTTTGTGGATGTTGCAGACATCAAGAAGAACGTGACGACACTGAAGAGCCTTCCAAAGGAGGACTTTAAAAGTTGTTTCTGTTACTTATAATACAGCCAAGCACAGAAGTATATATGGCAGATGGAGATTACTTCAAAATATATCAAAAGGTTACGTTTTTCACATCATCTATTCTGGTGTTGGTTCAGTACACAAAATGGATTTTGCATTTCATTCCTTCATTTGAAAATGCCATAAGAAGTTTAAAATAAGTTATAATTCTTTAAAGCTGGTACAATGAGAAATGATCGAAGCATAAAATTTTTTACATTGACAATTTAATTAGTTTAGAGTGCTCTCTTTTTCCTTTGACATATTGCATTCAATCCACCAGCGGCAAAATCTCTGAGCGCCTGGTAGTTCGGCGATGGAGTTTGAATCCTGGCAAATGGATTTGCTGCAAGGGCGTTTTCGTAGTTTTCCCTATGTTTAATGAGTATATGAGCTAGTTTCCCCAAGAAAGACCACAAATGCAATGGATAGGGTTACCAGATGTCCAGTACTTCAGTATTTAAAATTGCATATGAGGTTTTGCCCAGGAAGGGAAAATGTATGGAATTTTTAAATGAAATTGTTCGTTTGTATGTCTTAATTAATCAATTTGGCTGCTACATTCGTTAGCTCTTGTACAAAGGATTTTTTCTACTATGGATGATGTTTGTCTTAAGAAAGAAGTCAATTACAGGTGTCAAGACTAAAAGAATATTTAAACTTTAAAGTAAATTCCAAATATTCAACCTTATGAACTTGAGCAATTCACTGAGATTCTCAGGAAAATATTTAGTGAAAAATATGAAAAAGTAGAGTATAAGCAAGAATTCCAGCCATCTGCATCATCTTTATATGTTGTATGGTATCTTCTAAGTTGATGTACTGCAAAAGGTATATAGTCTGCTTTATACAGGGTTGCCACCCTGACTGGAAAACCGGAAAAAGTCAGGGAATTCAAAAATTGACCAAAAAAGTTAGGTAAAGTCTAGGAATTTAAATATTTTAGTCAAAATCTGGAAAAGTGTCGTTTGGACAGCTGGCATATAGCCAATTTTCGCAGCACCAACCAGATTGTCTTTCAGAAAGGCAAAGCAAGTTTCCAGCATCTTTGGTTTCAGTAACCTCGAGAATCCAGAGATGCACGTGTGCAAAGCATGATAAATGAAAGTAAATTCCTCCCATTATTGTATAAAACAAAATCTTTTTAACCTTTTCTGCTTTTTTAAATGTCATTTTGCAGCAAAATAATAATAATAAATCATTCATCTAGGCTAACCATTTAATATATCTATATTTGGCATAATACTGTCGATTTTTATAATCCTTAAGTTATAAACTTTGTTTTAATGTTATTCATATCATTTAATGTTTATTCTTCTTTCTAAATATATTTTTTATTAGTTAATAATACTTTCAAATTTTAGGCAATTTTCTCTGGCATAATTCTGAAACTAATTCTAGCAGTAATTTGACATACCATGATGAAATCTAGTTCACATATTCTTTGCTTATGTGTGCTGCTAAATAAGTATAAAATACTTGAATTTATTTCAAAATATCATTAAATAGATTTCTTTCTTCCTTTAGCTGCAATATGTCTGCAGAAAAGACATTTTTAAATCTCAACTGGGCAGATTCTAATCTCAATCCTTAGTGGAGAAAACAACTCCTATTATAGTTATAAAAGTAATGCTTTGGGAATTATATATATATATATAAAGTCATGTAACTGGCAAATTTTTACGTTTTCAAGTTGTATCATAATTAATTTACCTTCAGCACAGCCAATGCACACTATTTGAATAGACTGGAATTGTATTGAAACACCTGAAAAGGTTGGAATTTCACTTTCCTGTTCGAGTAGCAAACCTGTTTACAGTAAATATCTTTAATATTTCTTTCTTAGTGTTGCCTAATTTTCTTTCATTCCTTTATACCAGTTTTTAGATTTGTATAACTTACATGTACTAAATAGGTTTTCTAATCACTGAAATTATTTTTTTCATAGTGTCCTGGACATGGGCGTCTGCTGAAAACTTTCAGAGGAGAACATTAATTAAATCAGTAATTTTGTATTTGGGGGTTCACAAGTACTTTACACAAAGCATTATTGCATCAATAAAAACATGAACATGCTTCACATGACAAAATACACTTTTTTTCCAAGCAGTTCATATATCCCATTCTGACAGTCTATATTATGAGTATGCTTTATATGTTTCTGTTATAACTCTGGTAAGATTTTGAAATGTCAAAGTTCTTATATATAATTCAAAAGAACAGACTCGTTAAAAGAAAATTTGATGCAGATGATGTTCCTAATAAACAAGGATATTATTAGAGATGTATAGATTTAATGATATGCAGTTTTTAGTTAGCTTCCCCCCCCCATATCTCCTATCCGATAATCAACTGACCATACTAGCTCAACGTTTTGATATTCAAGACTAAAAAAATTTTGAATCGTGTTCTGTACTTTTTTAAACAATTGAAATTGTACATTTTGTGCAAAATTGTACTTCTGTGTTGAGTTATGAAAATTTTATACTGATAAGGTATATATAGATTGAGAAAAAGAAATAGCTAAATTTAATATGGTCAAAATTGCTATTTCTAGTGCCTATATCTATGGCATTTAGTATCTTAATACAAAAATAAGGAACTTTAAAAATCCTTAACAACTTTCTGTTTTTTTTTTTTCCCTTTAAATTGGTTAAATGTATTTTGCATCTTGTTTAATAATTCTCATTTGGTTTTCAGATATGAAAGCAAAGGAAAACAATGGGCAAAAAATAGACCTACACTACCTATTGGATTGGATCCCAGCTATGCCACTCCTGTTAGTGTAAAAAGTAGCATGAAAAAAATTCCAGGACTATCTGAAACTGTTAGTGAAACTGTTCCTAAATCTAAGAAGAAAAAGAAAAAGAAGAGTGATAGCCAAAAAGTGGATAATGCTTGTAATCAGATGGAAAATTTGGACATTTCTTCTAAAGCCTTAAATAATGCCAGTAATGTAACTCCAAGTAATCCAGTAAAAGGCTCCCAACCAATTACAACAGACCCTGCAAAAAGAATCAGAAATTTAAAGAAAAAGTTAAGAGACATAAATGCTTTGAAACAGAAAATTGAATCAGGAGAACTAGCAAATCCTGAAAAAGATCAGCTTGAGAAAATAGCACGTAAAGAAGAAATTGAAGCAGAAATAGAAGACTTGGAGTTAGAGTTGGAAAATGTATAGCTGAAGTTATCAATTTTTTTAGTGACTGTGGTTAAATTTTATTTGTATCAACCGAGGTTTTTGAAAAACTGGAAAGTCTTTTTTAAAGATATCATTACTTTCTTCATATTTCAAAAGCAAAATGTGCCATTGAAAACATTTCTTCTAATTACAGCTCAGCATATTTCTTTTGCTAGGACATTAAATTTTTTTAAGGAAAATAATGTATTAGTCTCCTGAATTGTGAATTTTATATTATCATTGAAACTTTTCCAGCTCTTAATATTCTTATTTTCATGACAGTTTTGCATCAAAACATAAATTAACATTTTCAATATAGAATTATAAATATTTTAATTTAGTAGCAACTGAGATATAAATTACCTTAAAATGTTTTTTAATGTTAAATTAATATAGTAAATTAGCCAAAGCTGCAGTACAATTTTGTAGTTTTATATATAAAGGAACAAAGTGAAAATACAAAAATTATTTTTCATTACTGGCATAAAACTTTTATAAGTATGTAGAATATATAAAAGCATGATTATTTGCCATAGTTACACAAATCCTTTTGATATAAATATCCAGTTTCAATGAAATTTTTGGTAATTTTCAAATCCTGTTGCTGTTTTATTTTTGTGATCATAGTCTTCTCTGCAAATACAAGTCCAAATTCCTCTAATTTTGAAGTAGCTATAGCAATTCTAACAGAAACAGCAAAGCAGATAAGAATTATGAAAACTTGCAGTATTTACTTCATTAATTCTATAATTCTTGATGACAGAAAATTAATCTATTCTCACATGTTAAAAAATTCTGTGCTCATGTACAAATAAATTTCAGATATTTATTGTTCAAAATTTACATTGCCACAATCTATTTACATAACTTACAAAAGTATAAATTTTCTATGGAATTATGACAACTTACATTTTTACTGTATTTTGAACTTTTTCTTCTTGTTACTAGATGAGAAAGGTCACTGTATTGTCCTTTTAACATGCATGATTAACAATTTTTCATTGAAATAGCTATTCAGATTTTCATAACATACTTTAAGATGTGCTTCAACACAAATGAGAAATTCGGTATATGATAAATCATATTTACTTCCTGGCAGTTTTTTTCCACTCATTCATATTTATTTATCCAATATGGTTTCTCAAGCTTCATCTTGACCAACTGTTAATAAATAGAAGTAATTAAAAATATAGACTATAACCAAATATATTCAAGTCTGATGGGAAATAATATATATACATAATTTTTCAGGGCATTTTTAATATACATAATTTACTTATTTGACTTCAGAATAAAAAAAGATTTAATAATTTTAATGAAAAACTATAGATTTGTTATAAGTTCAAATGGTAAATTGAAATATTTAAAAAATATTAATCAAGAAGTATTATGGATAATTGTATAGTATTGCATCCTTTTACTAATATGTATTAGGAAGCTAATATATATTGTTGCATTCTACGAGTTTGTGGATTTGGAGTAATTGATTATAAGACTCGATGAAGAATCAAAACAGTTTATTCACCAGTACGTGCTATTACACAGGACAGTTCCTAGGATGTGTTTACACTCATTGAGAAAACTGACAAACATACTGAAACAATCAGCAACACAGCAAAGCATTCAGCTCCTGACTCGGTCGATTGCTCTCAAGCTAATCTCTGAACTCGAGGCACTACTACTCTCCCTGTACAGGCGGGTATATGTAGTTTTAATCGACCTTCGAGAATATTATCGCTAAGAATGCCTTCTAGAATGTTCTCACTCCATCTGTGACATGTTAAATGGATGATTTCATGCCAAATCTGGCAACCTAAGCCTGCCATTTAGCTATCACATGGGTTTCTGCTGGGCATTTCACAACAATATATAAGTAATATGCCTAGCAGCTTAAAGGCTGGAGATTTGCTTATTTTAAGACATTCATAATAAAGCTAAGAACATAGTTTAAATCATGATGTGTTTCTCCCCTTCCTCCCTATCACATAATTGCTTTTTATAGTAAAAACTTTCAATGTTGCTTTATAATGCCATGATTATCTTAGAGGCCCACCAGCGGCCGAGCGGTAACGTCGCTGAACACTGGTAGTTCGGTCCGAGGTTCGAATCCCATGAACGGGCTGGCTGCATGGGCGTTTTCGTGGTTTTCCCCATGTGTAACGTGTATACGAGCCAGTTTCCCTTAGAAAGTCCTCCACGAAGGCATCCCTCCTCTTAGGCAGATGGCCCTCGAGGCTTTGCCATAATTACATTCACACACACACACGATTATCTTAGAAGCTTTAATACTCTTCTTAAATATTAATAGCATATTATAGAAAATTATAACTTTTTAAGATAGCACACTTATTTAAAGACTGGTGTACTGATATCTTCAAACTAAATGTGCATGTTTTATTTTTATTATGCTTTTAATAGCAAACGATTGCACATGCATAAAAATGCAAGAACATAATACACGTATAATTTACTCAAAATAGGCAAAATTATATATTATAGCTCTTTTTAGTTATGTTGTTTTGTTTGTTGGCTATTTTTATTATGTTACAGAAAATGAATTAAGTTTCTCATAATTTTAAATGTGTTACTCATATTCCTAGTTTGAGGAGAGAATTATTCATATCGTAAAATATTTGTAGAAAATTCAAACCTAAAACCACTATTTATTTAATATGCTACACGAATTTTAACTGAAATTAATGAAAAATATTATTTAAAATCCTACCTTTATATGCATATTCTAAAGCACTTGAAATAGTCCGCATGTCATTTTCAATGCTCTTAGCCCAATTTTCAACATCACCAATCTCCTGAAAAAGAATCAGAGTGAAATCTATTTTAAAATAATTTTAAAAGCACTTTTAAATATTTACATTATATTATAACACTATTTCATTAAAAACATTTTCCTTACACATTTCCAAATACAGTTTTTCATAGTATTAAAAGACCATGCAAGCACACATCACATATAGAATTTGTTTGTGCATTTTTTTTTTAATATTTAAACACATGTAGTGTGATCGTTATGTAATATTTAATTTATTTCACTTTTTAAATATTAACTTATATAAAACAGCTATTAATTTCTGTTTTTCAGAAAATGTTCATTGCAGTATTTTCCTAGATAGATGATTTACTTCCATCAAAATAATTGAGAATAAAAAGTTCTCTTCGATCTACAATTTTCATAACAATCTAATCTTTTCTTTTTAAGGTCTTGAAAGTCTAAATCAACTTGTTTACTTACACATTCACATAAATAAGAAAGTATTTTCAGATATTGTTCTGGCTATAAATCTTCATTTTTGTAAGTGAGATGGAAGAGCTAAAATGTCATTTCAGGTAAAGGTTTAGGCCTCGAGTCATGTTACAGAATACAATTTCAAATCTGCTTGATTAAAAATTATCAAAACTTCCTCAAATTTCTTTAATTACTTATCCTATTTGATATAGTTACAATATAATTTTAAAATATAAAATAAAAATTTAACATGTGAAATAATCAGGGAGGCAAAAATTTTTGAAAGTGAAAATGAAATTCATATGCAATAGGATGTCAACATAAAAATGTTAATTAGTGCTATTGGCTTAATTATTAGGATAAAAAAATCTTTTAACATGCAGTACTATGTATCAGTAGATTATTATGATCCCAAGTACACGGAAAAAAAAAAAAAAAAGAAAATCAGAGGCATTTCGGTCAAAATGTAAGAATATAAGCATATATTTCAGTACTGCAGAAAAGGTTTTGGTGCATCTATAATATTTGAATTTAACTAAATAGTCATCATTTTCAAGGCAAACTAGTATTTTTGAAGCATCTAAAAAGAGTACTTTCAAAACTTGGCTGAAGTTCTCTACAAGTTGTAACCACTGTGCTGTCTGCTTTGCAAAATTTGTAACATTAGTATGTAATTGTCTAGACTCCTGATCTAGTCTCTTCTGATTCAAGTATGCCTGAGCAACCCTGAAAACAAAGAGAAAATTAACTCTTTAATGGAAAGAAAAGTACACAAATGTTATTGATAAAATATGTAGCATAAAGTAGGAATGCAATACACAGTACAAGATTCGGACTTCAACAGTTTCGGATTTGGAATTTTTCTGGATATTAGACCATCAGTTTAAATCCATCAGTAAAATTAGACATCCACTAAATTTTGTCTGTCTTTTATCACATGCTCATGAAGTTAAGCCTTAATTATATTATTTATTATATTATTAAGCCCATTTTCCACAAATTTCTTATCTGAGTACAGAATAAATAAATTCTTACATATACTTAACCTTTTACAAGCCACTGTTCCCAATGAGAACATTAAAGTTTAAAATTCAATTAAAAATAATGTTTTATTTAAACTTCCATGTAAAAATGACTATTTACAATCAAAGGCATGCTCGACTTTTGACTAGAAAATTATGGTCCAGGAATAAAGTCTGTAGTGTACAGAAATCTACCAAAAAAAAGCTTTTTTAGCATTTTTGATATTGCATTACTTAAAAATTCCCCCAAACAGGAAAATAAATCAGAATTTCAAAATGAGTGAATAATAATATTAGGAAAAGTTTATTTTAATGCAAAAAGCATTAGTAATAAAAATTCTGACAAAAATATGTGCTTGATATAAGGAAGCGAAGCTGTATGCTCCTAAATGGGAACATTGGCATCTTTCATATAACAAAACTACATGATTTTTTTTTTTTTTTTTAATTCCATTAGATTACATTATTAGTCCAAAGGGGCAATTTGCCTAAAAGAACTATTAATTTCGTTTTGGCATTTTGCGTCACTACACGATACGCATTTGTTCACTTTTCAAATTGTTGCCACCAAATATTATTGGTCTGCATTATATTCAAAGAAATTAAATAAATAAGAATCTGCATGAATGTATGTATGTGTCTCGCATTGTGATAACACAATGGTACCTAAAGCCATCAAAATTTGAATAACATAATCTTCCATAGAATATGTGCATGGAAGTCCTAATTTGAATTTGAACTTTGTTTTATTGCCGATGTCCTATTTTACAACACTTCATCTAATTTTTTATTAACAAACTAAACGATTTCAAAGCGAGCAATGGCAACACTGTCTGGAGGGGGGAAAAGAAACATTTTTATCTCCAGTGCATGAGACACTGTATCGGAAATTCTAAAGATACGCACGCTCATTTTAAAATTATTTTGTGATATGGCTGTTGAACTGAATTTTATAGTTTGAGTACACAGAACATGATATTTAATAAATAAAGGTAACACAAAAAGCATTAAAAAAAACACCCCTTTGGACATAATTTAAAATCTGAAGATTTTTTTATTTTTGGAAGTATTTTATTTAGTGACGAAATGAAATAAAGAATCAGAACCCTCCACATATTTTATTAGGAAAAGATATTAAATGTGCATAAATTTAAAAAAAATGCTGGCGATTCATATTTCAGACTAACAAAATTTCAGGTTGTTAAAAAAACACAACAAGCCAATTTATATAAACATGATTTACATTTTATTAAATTGCATACTTGCCAACCTATGACACTCAAAAATCAGAAGATTTTTCACAATGTTAAAAAGACTTTTTAAATGATAAAAATATAGCTTTAATAATGAATTAACTTTAAATCTCTACATATAATAAAACAAAGAGTCTGTCTGTCTGTGTCTTTCATTCACGCTGCGCGTATGCTAATAGACCCACGGCTACCAAATTTGGTACATAGGTGCATCTAAAGAAGAGCCAGTGCACCTCTGGATTCCGGATTATAGATCATCAGTTTAAATCTGGTAAGATGGCATGCAGAAATTATAAAATTAAAAATATGAAACCGTAATTTATGAAATAAATAACAATTATGATCTAAAGGGTTTTAAAATTTACAAAAAAAAGCTTAATATTTATTTGTTTACTTTATTAAACATTTCTTTCAATGTCAGTTGTTTAAGTTGCTTCATTTTCTATGTGATAATACGTTCTCTTTAATTCTATAAACAGACATAATTTCTTGTTCAGTTACAAAGTTCCGCTGTTCAAGTCCTATAATTGCTGTGTCGAGAATACCGACTAATTTGTCAATCAAAATTTTTTTCATTTTCAATAACCTCTATCACTTTCTTCGCTATCGGAAGGGAATTATAATGACGAGGAATTTGATTTAAATCATATCAAAGGCGGAGTACACCGAGGTGAAATACTACGTAAGGAATTATAGGCCAAATAAAATAAAAACATCTGCCCTGAAGATAAGGATAGTGCTGACAGATCAACTTCCAATTCATTGCGTGCCACGGCGTTAAAGATAAACAAAGTTTACATAAACAAATGTTAAAGTTTAGATAAACAAAGGATATGCCTTTATCCATTTTTTGCAGCAATTCCCCTTTTTGTTTAATGGATTTCGAAACATACTTTCGCTTTGTAGATCCTTTACATATTAGTAAATATATATCAGAAATTCTATTTGACATAATCGAAAGTTCAAGCTTACTTTTATAAAATTACTCTAACAGTCTGCAAATAAACATAAGCCAAATCCAATTCAAAGATTAAGGAATAACGCAATCTGCAACATTAACTGAATTAGATAATTTTAGCTTAGCTTATACTGTCCGTTATACATTAAACGCGCATTCGTAAACGTATTTTGCGCATGCGCACACGCATATTTGCAACTGTAAAGGTCTTGCGTCAGGTTGCGTCAATCCGACGCATGCACAGAAAGTTTGTAGCTTTGAGGTCCGGATTATGGGTGTCCGAATTAACGACTTTTGACTGCATTTTGTATTTTTAAATGAAGCTTCCGAGTACACTTTTCCCATCTCCCATCTTTACAAATATGATTTTGGCAACAATTTTCCTTTCTTATTGTTATTGGTAGATTTTTGATGAAATCGTATCATTTTTAATAGTTTCATTCTTTTAGAAATATGGGTTTGCAACAATTTTTCATCGTATTTTCCTATGTCACTGTTTTAAGAGATTGGCATATTTCATTGCCATTTTTTTATATATATACATTTTTATTGATTTCTTTTTATAAAGTTGTTCTGCAGAGTAAAATTCTGTGTGGAATTTTGTGTTTTTTGAGTTTCTTTCATGTTATTTTTTGCTTTTCACTGTTTGTTAGATATTGAAAAGTTTTGCATGTTTTTTTTTCTCAACGCAAAGTTTTTTTTTATTAGGATAATTAATATTTGTATTAAGGGATATAGCTTATTTCATTGTAATTTTTTGGTTTTACTGTGGTAGACGGTTGCAGGGATTTGGTAATTTTTCTTTTGGCGAGTAATAACGACTTATGGTAACCCATTGCTAGATAATTATTTATGTAACGGATACTTTGTTGTCTTTTATTACACTTGTTGTTTTATTTATGGTCACCGTTACTTTGTTGTCATTTTATTTTAAAAAATAATTCGTTTTATTATGCATAAATTCCGTGTTTTAAATATTTTTTTTTGCTTCTAAATATTAAAATCAATTTAATTTTGCATTTTTATTTGAAATAAAATTTTTGTTGTTTATAATTTTTATATAATTTTATGCTGTGGATTATGTAATCAATGACGTCCCTTTACTTAAAACGTAATTGTTTTATTAACTATCTATAAATTTAATCTATGTTTTAAACATTATTTATGGTTGTTAAATATTAAACAATTTAATTTTTGCATTTTTTTAAAAATGATTTTATTATGAATGAATATTTAAAATAATTTTAATTCTATGCATATGTAATCAGCTCCCTTATTGGTTACTGAATATTTGTGCATACCGCGCCATTTTAAAATTTTAATTATTCATCTCTTCAAATTCCTCAGATTTTTCAAATGGAATGGATATGTCCGTTTCGAAGATGAAATTGTTGTTATTGGTATTAATTACCAAAAATTATTGGTTCGGATAAAAAAATTGCCCTTTGAGACCTTATTTTGGCCACCTGGCTTTCCTAATCAAAGATTATATTATAAATTGTTAATAGCGTCGTCAGACGAAATTGATTTTTAAATTTTTGGAGAAAACCCTCGCTAATTGCTTTTCCAATGAGGTGCAGAGAATGTGGATCACAGATGAAGATTTTTTTTTTTTTTCTGGTACTTATCAATATACGACAGGTAAAATACTTAAAAAAATGTAAGTACCTAATTTTTCTTTTACTTTAATAATGTATACTTACTTTATTAAAACTTAATAGTACAATGTTTCAAAAATTCCTGAGATATTTATTGCCACATTGTTTTTAATGTAAATACTTAAAAATCCTATAAAACTTATTTTAAAGTATTTAAGTAATATTTTAATTCCTTTAAATGTTGGTATATGTTTTTAATTCGATATTCAATTTAAGCAATATTTTAATCCAATTAAATATTGGCGCATGTTTTTTATAGCGTGGTTTTTATTCTACTATATGAAACTAATAATTTAAATTACTTTAACATTTTATATACTTCTTTCTTAAACTTTGTTGTAAAGAAAAATTTTTTTCTTAAAATTTTTTTTATTTTATTCATTATTTTTATTTTTTTTTAAAGTTTCTAATACTTCTATATGCGTAAATACGTAAACAGCATTTTTTCAAGATGGCTGATTCTAAAAACTGCCCAATGTAAATCGCCAAAAATATCCGTGCAACCGTCTACCAAAGTAGCACCATTTTTCTCTTGAAAATATAAGATAAAAACATTAATTATAAAGTAAATTTGGTGGATTTTTGTTTTTTTTTTTTTTTTTTTTTTTTTTTTTTTTTTTTTTTTTTCTTTTTTTTTTTTTTTTTTTTTTTTTTTTTTTTTTTTTTTTTTTTTTTTTTTTTTTTTTTTTTTTTTTTTTTTTATTTGATTAAGGGCATTTTTTTTTTTTTTTTTTGTTTTTTTTTTTTTTTTTTTTTTTTTTTTTTTTTTTGTTTTTTTTTTTTTTTTTTCCTTCTTTCTTTTTTTTTTTTTTTTTTTTTTTTTTTTTTTTTTTTT